ATGCGAAACCAGGACAGCCTAACCATTCAAGGTTTAGTAGAATAATCTCTAGTAAACTTTTAGGTTTCTTGTCAAGACTGAAGATCAGAGATCACCCTTGGGCTGACCAAAGTCATAAAAGTAATAAGACCACCACACCTTTGGTCAAGGAATTTGTGAGTTGCAAGTGTCTGAGTTTGTGAATTGCAAATGTCTTAACATGTCTCTTGCAGGAATCCTCCCCCTCCCAGGGCTAACCTAATCAGCCCTCTGTGAACTACGTGACACAGATAAGCCCCATCATGGCAGCAATCATATGACTAACCCACCCATCTGCCTGCTGTCCATCACCTGATATCATCGGTGCCTGCGCTTGCCTGCCCCTCTGTGGAGACGTGGAGGCAGACCCCCACCCAATCACCCTGATGATCTTCCCCCATCGAGGGGAATGGTCAAAAGGACTCAACCACAAGCAACCGGTGGCCTTTGCCTTGCGAGAGTCTGGTGTGGCCACGTGCTCTTTGAGCCGCAGCTGTCGCCATCCTTCCTGGCTTTGGCCCCCTCCCCCACCTTGGGGAGGTGAATCGTCTCTCTTCTTTCACTTTCTCTCTCTAATTTACTTTTTATTTATTTATTTTTTTTGAGTTGGAGTCGCACTCTGTCGCCCAGACTGGAGTGCAGTGGCCGCTCCCGGCCACCGCAGCCTCGACCTGCTGGGCTCCGGCGATCCTTCCGCCTCAGCCTTCCGAGTAGCCGGAATTACAGGCATGCACTACCACGCCCGGTTGATTTTTTGGGCTCAGCCTGTAATCCCGTGCCTTTGGGAGGGTGAGGTGAGTGGATTATCTAATTTACTTTTAAATAAACTCTTTTTTCTTAACCTTTTTGTGTGTCACAATTCTTTGCATCTACTGGGATCTCGGGGTTGCCAGCGTGCACCTCCAGCTTGCCAGCCCCGGCAGTGCTGCACGCCTCATCTCCACCCTCACCCTGTACCCCTAACAACATGTGGTCACTCTTAAGCGAACCTGGAACAATTATCGTAACACTATAAGAAAAGGATTGGCAGTAGGGGGAAACTGCCGGGGGGCAGTGGGGGTGAGGTAGGAGGGAGGTGGGATTGGCAGTTTGGGAATCTTCCAGAGGACAGGGGGGCACACCTCATCCACAAGGGGACCTGCATAATGAGCATTTGCATACCTAACCCTGAATTGTACCCCGCATCCTTAAAATAAAAAATTAAAACCAAAAAACTTCACAGAGATGGGAACTTCATTCAGATAGTCCTGCTCCTCATAGAACTGACACCAGCCTGACAAGGAGTGAGGCGCTTACTTCGGGCACAAGGTTTCAAGGGATGCAAAAAACTCAAGTAAGTCATATTTGAATGCAATGTTTTAAAAAATCAAATTGCAAGCTCTGACCTGTAAGTTGGGGGCTTGTTTTTACATATAAAATGTTCTTGGATCCAGAGCCGGGATTAAGATGTAGTGAGTAAGGTGGGAATCTCCTATCTGTCTCTCTCTAATTTACTTTTTAAATAAACGGTATTTTCCCATCTAAAAAAAAGAAAAAAGTTATATTTGTATTAAGAAGTTGATGACAACGATGACCAAAATATTGGTGAAAATAATAGTGATAAAATCAGGAATCATTTTTATCTTTTTCTTTTTGCATATTTTATAATTGATCTGCAGTGGACATGTCTTATTTAATAGAAAGGTTAATGAAACTTAAAAGGAAAAAACCTCATTTCCTTTTTTTTAAAATGAGTCAGGCATCAAGGGCTGGGTCGGATCCTGTCTTTATTCATTCATTCATTTATCTTTGTATTTATTTTGAGTCGGGGTCTCACTCTGTTGCCCAGGCTGGAGTGCAGTGGCATGATCACGGTGATCATGGTTCACGGCAGCCTCAGCCTCCTGGGTGATCCTTCCACTTCAGCATTCCAAGTAGCTGGGACTACAGGTACAGGCCACCACACCCGTCTAATGTTTTCATTTTTTTGTAGAGGCAAAGTTTTGCTATGTTGCCAAGTTGGTCTCAAACTCCTGGGCTCCAGCAGTCGTCCTGCCTCAGCCTCCCCAAGTACTGGAATTACAGGTGTGAGCCACTGCCCCCAGTCCCGTCTTTATTAAAAATGTCACAATTTTGTTCACCATAGATCTCTTTTTGCATGACTTTTCATTGTTTAAATAGTGCATCAAAATATTATTTATCTTGCTAAGCTTTTTGGCCCCTTCTTAACTTTTGAGCCCGAGGCAAGCACCGCACTGGCCTTAAACTAATAGTGGGGCGGCTCCTGGGTGATTGTGGGTTTGGGTGTTAAACCAGTGGCTTGGAAGAACAGCACGTTGATCGGCATAACAGGGTAGGAGATAGTCGCCCTTCTCTGGCTGCTGCCTAAGCCAATACTCATCCTCTACTGGGGGAGCACAGTGGGAGAATTCGTCTTCCTCTTTGTCCTGTCTCAGTTCGCCCGAGGGAGCAAGACTAGCTAAGTCGATTCATGAGAGCCTGACCCCGAATGCATAATGTTTCCGATTCGTTTTCTTTCAAAAGCCTATATTCTACCATGTTTGCTGCTTGCTGATGGTGGGCTCTTCGTGGCTCCCGGCTCCCATCTAGTCACAGTTGGTACGACTCGGGCTGCTTGTGCTCTTTTGCTTTCTCTGTTCTGCCAACTACCGGCTGTGTGAGAGGCAGCTGGCATCCTGTCCGGGTGGCGTGAGAGCTCAGCCTGTCCTCTGCTGAACCGCTTTCTCCTAAGATCGAGGGTTGGAATGGAGTGTAGGAGGGCTGGCCAAGCCCTTCAATCCAGCTCTTGCCAGAGAGCCACGGCAAAAAGGTGTCCTGCTCTCTGTAGAGGGTGCCACTTCTCGGCCTCTTCTCTTCTGGTGAGAGCCTGGTGCAGAGCAGGGGTTAGTGACTTGCCATACGCCACCAAACAGCCCAAGTCTTGGAAATGTACCAACCGGCGAATGCAGCATTTCTAATTCCGGGAATTTATCTGAAAGAAGCAACTGAGAATGTGCTAAAGATTTTAGCACTGAGAATGGTCACTCTTTAAAAGAGCGAAACGTTGGAAACAGTACAGATGTTCAACAATGGAGGCTGGTTCTATAAATTGTCCGTTCATACTACACACCACTGATAAGAAGAGGAACATATATATTGAAACAAAAAGTTGCTCTTAATATATTGCTATGGGAAAAGAAATAAAATTATAAAATATTATTTATAGTTTTTTTAACATGAAAAGTTATATCTGGTGTGGTCATGTGCTCTTTGAGCTATGACTGTCACTATGTTTCCTGGCTTTGGTCCCCTTCCCTACCTTGGGGAGGTGAATTTCCTCTCTCTCTCGAATTTACTTTTTAAATAAACTATATTTTCCAATCTAAAAAAAAAGAAAAGTTATATTTGCATTAAGAAGTTAATGACAATGACCAAAATAATTAGCAATAGTGATAGTGATGAAATTAGGAATGATTTTTATCTTTTTCTTCTTGCTTATGCATATTTTATAATTTATCAGAAGTGGACATGTCTTACTTGTATAATAAAAAAGATTAATGAAACTTAAAAGGAAAAAAACCCTAATTTCCTTTTCTTTTTTCTTTTTAGTTCGAGTCTCACTCTGTCACCCAGGCTGGAGTGCAGTGGCACAATCATGGCCACCGCAGCTTCAACCTGTCGTACTCAGGCAATCCTTCCGCCTTAGCCTTCCAAGCAGCCGGAACTACAGGGACATGCCACCACATCCGGCTAATTTTTTGATTTATTGTAGAGATTAGGTCTTGCCAAGTTGCCCAGGCTGGTCTCGAACCTTTGGACTCAGGCAATTCTCTCACCTTGGCCTCCCAAAGCGCGGGATTACAGGCATGAAACACCGCACCTGGCCTCATTTCCTTTTCTTTTTTTTCTTTTTTTGAGTCGGAGTCTCACTTTGTCGCCCAGACTGGAGTGCAGCGGCCGCTCCCGGCCACCGCAGCCTCAACCTGCTGGGCTCCGGCGATCCTTCCGCCTCAGCCTTCCGAGTAGCTGGAATTACAGGCACGCGCTAGCACACCCCGCTGATTTTTTTGATTTATTGTAGAGATGAGGTCTCACCAAGTTGCCCAGCAGGTCTCGAACCCGTGGGCTCAGGCAATCCACTCACCTTGGCCTCTCAAAGTGCGGGATGACAGGCTGAGCCACCAAGCCCGGCTCATTTCCTTTTCTTAAAACAAGTCAAGCACCATAGAACTTTTGAAAAAATATAACGTATCTCCATAAAAATAAATCAACAACAAATTTCCATTTAAAGATCCTTTTGCTAACTTCTTTTTCCTCATTTTCTTCCCCACAAATCACAAACTCATGACACAAAATTCATGAGTTAAGGAAGAAAAATGACAGGTTGTTGTAGATTTTAGCAAAGGATTTATTAGGGCATTTTTAGTTTTATTGTGAAAGATGGTTATTTACTAGATTAAGTGAGCGCTGCTCCTTCCTGGGATGTGTCAGTTGGAAAAATATGAGGTCACATCCCACGCAGACATGCAAGTTTCAGGTCGAGCACTTCTACCATGAGGCAGGAGGCCTCTGTGCTCTGTGCTTTTGAATATCTCTTTTATCAAATTCCACATTAACCACTCATTATCTATGGGAACTTGGACAACATCTCTGTACTCCAGTATCCCCGTGTGTAAAATAACACCCATTTGCAACATTGGCATGGGGTTTAGCGATACATGTAAAGTTTATTAAAAAGAGGGCAACCCCCTAGGGTCCTCTCCCACTGTGGGAGCTTTTCTGTCTTCTCAATAAATCCTGCTTTCAAAAAAAAAGAAAAGAAATTAACAGGTATATACCAACACATGGTATGGTAGATGGGAATGTGCACCAGATTTTACAGACTATCTTGTTGTGGAGACACACACCCACACCCACACACATACACACACACACACACACACACACACACATACACACACAGCACTCCCAAACCCAAGCCCCTCTGAAGTCACCCCACTTACTGAAGCAGGAACATCATCAAGCTGCCTTCCACCATGGTTGGAAACAATGATGCCGTGAACACTGTGCTTCACAGCTAACTCTGCATCCTCTTTTGTCAGAATCCCTTTAAGGATGATGGGCAGCTGAGTTATGCTCCGAAACCAGGCGAGATCATTCCAGCAGAAAGACGCGCTGAGGGGAGATGTCCGCAAATCAGATGCTGGATTTCCCTGCAGGAAATAAAAAGGGAACCTTAGTCCTGAACTCCCATAAGACTGTTGGGCCCATCCCAAAGATGAGACAGATGCAGAGAGTTGCCATTTATTTATAAGTCTGGAAGAGGAGCAAGAAAATCTAACAATGCTTCTAGCTCATTTTTTCCCCTGACAAACTTTGCTTGTCAATTACCTGTGCATTAACCATGAATCCTGTTGCTACACAATAATTATGCCAGTTTCTGGGGACACAAAGACAAATAAGACACCATTTCTACTTTTTTTTTTTTGAGTTGGAGGCTCACTCCGTCGCCCAGGCTGGAGTGCAGTAGCATGCTCACGGCCACCCCAGCATCGATCTGCTGGGCTCCAGCATTCCTTCTGCCTCAGCTTTCCAAGTAGTCAGAACTACGGGCGCGCACTACCACACCCTGTTAATTCTTTGATATATTGTAGAGACGAAGTCTTGCCAAGTTGAACCCACTGGCTCAGGCAATCCACTCGCCTTGGCCTCCCAAAGTGCTGGGATTACAGGTTGAGCCACCGAGCCCGACCATATTTTCCCAGGCTGGAGCACAGTGGAAAGCTCACGGCCACCCCAGCGTCGACCTGCTGGGCTCCAGCATTCCTTCTGCCTCAGCCTTCCAAGTAGCTGGAACTATTTTTTGATATATTGTAGAGACGAAGTTTCACCAAGTTGCCCAGGCTGGTCTTGAATCCCTGGGCTCAGGCAATCCTCTTGCGTTGGCCTCCCAAAGTGCTGGATTTGTAGGCTGAGCCTGGCCCTGTTTCTACTTTAAAAGTGTTCAGAGTTTATGGTCGGGCTCGGTGGCTCAGCCTGTAATCCTGCGCTTTGGGAGGCCGAGGTGAGTGAACTGCCTGAGCCCATGGGTTTGAGACCCACCTGGGCAACTTGGTGAGACCTCATCTCTACAATAAATCAAAAAATTAGCCGAGTGTGGTAGCGCGCCTGTAGTTCCAGCTACTTGGAAGGCTGAGGCGGAAGATCGCCGGAGCCCAGCAGGTCGAGGCTGCGGTGGCCAGGAGCGGCCACTGCCTTCCAGTCTGGGCGACAGTGAGACTCCCAACTCAAAAAAAAAAAAAAAAGTGTACAGAGTTTAGAATGTGAGATGGATAAGCAAAAGTGTGTCTATGTTAGTGTGATGTGTTTTGAATGGGATAGGCATAGAATAATAAGAAATAATCAATACATTGATAATCCTAAATCAGATATTACCCAATTTTAACCTTGGATTATCATGTATATCAAATATTCATAAATCTCAAGATGCTTCTGGAATCTGAATAAGGATCTTGGAACACCTCGAGACTGATTAGTGGTTAATAATAATAATAAGTAGAACTGTTGGGTCACTTGGCTGGGTTTTTACAGCTGCCCATCTACTGAAAAGGCTGATTTTACTATCTCTACTGTAGCCAAGAAAGTCTGACTTTACCATGGCTTGCTTTCTCTGGGGCACTCTACACCATTCAATCGTAGGATTTTAATGGGCAAAGTACCCTTTGTTATCACCTAGTTCGGAAATTCCAAACAGATGCAATACAACACCCTGGTGCTCCATGAATGAGTTCTAGGTGTGTGGAGATATTGACTCCTCAGATTTCTTTCTTTTTCTTTTCTTTTAGTGCCTGGTGTTCATTTCCCTCACACCTGGGATGGCTCACATGACACACACAAGCATCATCACTGGGGGAGAGGGTAGCAACCCTGACCAGACTCCTCAGATTTCAAGGCAGCAAGGTGGAACCTGGGCTGGCTAGGCTGGCTTGCCAGTCACCTGGGCTGTGAGCATCCTCTTCAAAGAGCCAGTTTTGTCTGTGTGTGCCAGCCTAAATTATCATTTTTTGAGTGTGAAGTAGAAGTAGAAAATGAATGAATTTTTTCAGTTTGCTTGCCTATTCCCTACAAAAACCCTTTCTATGGCTTTCCTATTTCTCAGCATCCAGCTCTGGCCAAAATACTTCTTTCTGGTTACAGGGTAGGCACTGAGGACACTGGGTCTAATGTTCTGCTTCTCTGGAAGCTCTAGGGAGCAGGAATGAGATCTGCTTTTTTTTTTAAACTTCTGCATCCTCAGTGTCTAGTACAGAGCAGACATTCAATAAATACTGTGGAAAGAAAGGAAGTAGGAAAGAAGGAAGGAAATTTGCTTTCCGTAACGGCTGCCTGTTGAGTCTGGTGTCTTTCCTACCTTTTCAGGGGATCGAAGATCTTTCAGCATCAAGTTCCTCTTCAAGTCCAGTTGGTTTCGAGAGTCGTCTCTCCGGTTGCCAGGTATGGGTGCATCCAAAGTGAGAACCAAAGCTTTGAAACCCAGGGATTCTACCCTCTGGATCAGCTGTTTGTTCAGCTGCCAGTCTGTCTGTACATAGAGTTGGAACCATCGCAGGCCTTTGGGGGCTGAAGCAACAATGTCTTCAAGGCTGCAGCTGGCAAATGTGCTGGTGATATAGCAGATGCCAGCTGCTTGGGCAGCTGCAAAGCAAAGGACATGATTCAGACTGGAGGGCAGAAATACCTGGACTGGGCCGAGAAGCCTTGGGAGTCTGTGTGGCTCTGGCCAGTCTGCCTTGTGAATGCCTGGAAAACTTGACTTCATTTTGCTTCTCTGTAGAGAAGGGACGGGAGATGGTTTGATCAGATTGAGAGGCATGAAGCTTTTTGGATCCCCCTTGGTGTAACCTGTCGTAAAAACCCTGTACTCCATAATAAAGTATTTCCAGCTAGAGATGCCAGGTAGTCTGCACAAACGTATTAGGTGTTACAGCATTTTGACCAAAGCTAAATAAATAAATAAAGGGCTTTTAATGAACGTCTTATGAAGCAGGAGAGAATTAGAGAGGGCACAGGTTAAGGGAGTGTAACTCTGATGAAAAAGCCTGAAATTTGTAGTAGAAAAACTTGTAGTGATGTCTGAAATGAGGAGAATGCTGCTTCTACCCCTTCTTTGCTATGTGACCTTGAGTCCGTCCTTTCCTTTATCTGTCAAATGGGGGAAGTAAGAGTCCCTGCCTTGAGGGTTGTTGAAAGATTAAATGAAATGCTTGGTATGGAAGATATTTTTAACGGCAAAGTGATGATCTGTGCCCATGTGAGTGAGAATGAGGTTGGGGATGGCGTTGCTGCCCCTGCTGTGTTGGACATTTCTCATTTGCTACTTTAATCATTTCGGTAGGATTCTCCAACAAGTTGATGTCACTATCATGCCATAATTCAGGGGCAGAGGATTTGGCCTAATCAAATTCTCCACCTCAACAAGAGATGCCCCATTCTTGTATCCCACACTAGCACAGCATATTCAGTCATGAAAACTGAGTAAACTAGTCATACTCATATGGGATCTCCATATTTCAAGCTAGCCACAGCTGGTTCCTATTTCCATCAAGATGGATGTTACTTTTGGCTCTAGAATCCTGGGATTCATTGCTTCCTGTATCATGGAGCCAAATGAAAAGATCCCAGGGAAGCCCTGGGCAATTCACAAAAACAGACTTGACCTCAAGTGAAGATTACAAGAGTCTCGAGGGTATTTTTAGCCCCATCTCATTAGTATATTATTACTATTATTGTTATTATTATTGTCGTTATTATTACTATGATTATTATTCATGGTGGAGGATGCAGGACAAGAATAAGGTGTGCAACAAGAAACTTTTTGTCCAACAAGATGGCAGGGCCAATGGAGAAGAATGGAAATGAAGCATTTGGGCAGTAGCAACTGCCAGGGCTTTGTGGTAGGACCTAAAGTCACGATTCTGCTCTTCTCCTAAATTCATACTCACCATTCAGGCCCAGCCCTGGCCCATAGGGGCCAAGAAAAGTCCCACCCTTGGGTCACACTAAATGTCCTTTTCCCCACAGATAGTGTGGGTCAGAGGGGCCGGTACTCTCTCCCGGTGGACGACTCGGCGGGATTTCAGCACCTTCCTATTCATCTGTAGCCCCTGTCCACTCGGACTGCTCCGGATAATGGCAAATGAATGTTTCCTCAGTCTTAGGCGAAAGAGGACACAAACATAGCTTTGAGCATCCCCTTTCCCACCTTCCTTGATGTCAACCAGACTGCTGTTCCTAAGGCCCTATCAGAGAGAAATCCTGGCGTCCCCTGCCCCTGCTCCAAGAGAGACCTGAACACACAGACTTCTGAGCAAGGAGCCTCGAGGTCGGGCTGGGTCCTACCTCTCGCTGTGCTCATTTCCCCGTCAGGCCAGACGAGGCAGTGGAACCCTGTGGGCGCGATGCAAACAGGGGCGCTGATCTCCTCCCCCTGGATGGTGGTCCTGGGGTCCACCTTCGACACATCTCTCAGGTATCGGGGACGGAGGCGGATTCTGTGTGAGACAACGAAGAGGTTTCCTGCTGACGGCTGACTCTTCAGCGCGGAGGTGCTGTCGAGGCTGCGGCTCCCTGATTCCTGGTCAGGTCTGCCCCAGACCGGGCCCCGTGAAACCTTGGTGGCTTCAGTTGGCTGAGAGCTGAGTAAGCGGTGTGGCTCCAGCAGGAGGCTCATTTCTAGGATACCACCCTCAACACCCCCTCCACATTCATCAGCCTTTTAGGAGCTGCTAGTGCACGTGGAGTCGACACTATCCCTGCCTCGCTCTGTCAAGGGTCTGTGTCTTCGAGCCTGTGCCTCCTTGACTGGACACTCAGCGCTTGGATGGTGGGATTGTTTCATCACCACAAGGACTAGGAAGGGAAAGAATAGGCAGAAAGGCTTTTCCCTCTCAGGTGATAAATAAATTCTCCAGAAAGTAAGCAGAGGCCGCTGCAAAAGGACCACTTCCAGCGAGTGATCTGGTTTTTGTGTTAGAGGCGCGTGAAGGTTGACTTAACTACTGCTTTAGGAGAGGCAGGAAAACTCTCAGATAACAAATATATAAAACACACTTTTAGGACAATTGGATACTGGGCCTCGTGATTCTGTCCTCATCCTAAACTCAGAGACTCACCGTTTAGCCCCAGCCCTGACTCCTAAGGGACCAAAGAGAGGCTTGCCCTTGGGGCCACATCAAGCATCCTTTTCTCCACAGATAGTGTGAGTCAGAGGGGCCAGCGCTTCTCTTCCAGCCCTTTTGACCTCAGGGTCCAAAAATTGTTGTTTTTTTCACAATGTCTTATTATTTCTGTACACAAACTTGGAAAAATTTTCTGAAACTACTAATTGTCCAAGGTTGAGTACGGTAGCCTCAGTCACTTCATCTGTGAAACAGGAAAAATAGCCCAAATTTCTTCACTGTTTTGTGAAGACAAAATGGGATAAATCATTTAATGTGCCTAGTAGAGGCTGGATGCAGTGGCTCATCCCTGTAATCCCAGTACTTTGGGAGGCTGAGACAGGAGGATTGCTTGAGTCCTGGGCAACATGGTAAGACCTCAGCTCTACAAAAACATAAGAAAATGCACTGGGTGTGGTGAGCCACGTCTGTGGTCCCAGCTGCTGGGGAGGCTGAGGCAGAAGGACTGCCTAAGCGCAAGAGGTCAAAGCTGCTGTGAGCTGTTATTATGCCACTGCACTCCAGCCTGGGCAACGGAATGAGACCTCTGACTCTCACTAACTAGCTAACTAACTAAATAGATGTGTTTAGTATAGTGCTAATTAAGTGTGAACATGCAGAAGGTAGCGCTCCCTTTGCATCCCATTTCTCTGTTTTCTCCTGATTGCTCTATCACTAGAGTCAGTAAACTTTTTCTATAAAGGGCCAGATGGTCAACATTTCAGGCTTTGCGGTTCACATCATCTTTGTCACAATTATTCAGTGCTGCAGTTGTAGCACAAAAGCAGCCACAGATAACAGTAAATGACCGAGCATGGCTGTGTTCCATGAAACTTTCTTTTCTTTTTTTGAATCGGAGTCTCACTCTGTCACCCAGACTGGAGTGCAGTGGCCGCTCCCAGCCACCACAGCCTCGACCTGCTGGGCACTGGCGATCCTTCCGCCTCAACCTTCCAAGTAGCCGGAATTACAGGCATGCGCTACCACGCCCGGCTGATTTTTTGATTTATTGTAGAGATGAGGTCTCACCAAGTTGCCCAGGCGGGTCTCGAACCTGCGGGCTCAGGCAATCCTCTCACCTCAGCCTCCCACAGGCGCGGATTACAGGCTGAGCCACCGAGCCCGGCTGAAACTTTCTTTATGGACATTAAAATTTGAATTGCCTATGGTTTTTACATGTCACAAATTCTTCCCCTTCTTTCAATTTCTCCTGCCCTTCTCCCCTGTCCACTTAAAAATGAAAAGCCATCCTTTGTTTGTGGCCCCCCCACAGGCATGGGCCAGTGTTGGCCCATGGGCAGCTGTTGGGTGACTCAGGATGCCCTAGCCCCTAATTTTCCAGTCCATCTCTTCTCCCTTGATACAATCTCTTATCTTCCCTAAGACTCCTTGGGTCATCACATTTCCTCCAAACCTGAGTTTCCTCTCCTGCCCTACGTTTTCTCCTCCCAGTCAGAGTCAGGAACTCAGGAGGTCAAGGCCCGACCAGCAGACTTCTCCTCGCTGCCAGCTAGCTGGCCATCCCGGGACTCTGGTCTCGCCAGGTCATAAGTTGCTGGGATGCAGAGGGAGAATGACTCGTGTGCGAGCTCCAAGGTGAGTTCTCTCTGGATCCACTTTCTCTCCAACCCTCTGCCCTTGTCCCCAAACAACAAAATGACAACAACAACAACAAAAACGCATGATGCTATCTTGAATATACTGCGTTTCCTGGAGGCAGAAACTGGGGCTGCTGCCATCCAGGGAGCTCACAACCAGTGCACCTCAGCTCAACGACAGACAGGCTACGGGAGACCAGACTTTTTAAACGCTGCAATGTTGTCGTCCCGTGTGAAGCTCTCATCAGCTCCTCCTTCGATGAAATCCCGAGTTGACTTGGACAGCAGTTCTCGCGCAAGAGCCTGAAAGTCTGTCAAACACACTAAGGGCATTTCTGGACCTTCAGAGGAAACAAAACAAAACGAAACCCAGTAAGAACACTTCAGATGCAGAGCAAGGAAAGAGGGAGCTACTGTATGAAGTTGTTTTGGATTCAACATTGGTCTCCCGATACTATTTACCTTTAAACATTGTTTATTTTTTAATTTTTTTTTGAGTTGGAGTCTCACTCTGTCACCCAGACTGGAGTACAGTGGCCACTCCCGGCCACTGAAGTCTCGATCTGCTGGGCTCCGGCGATCCTTCCGCCTCAGCCTTCCAAGGAGCTGGAACTACAGGCGCGCGCTACCACGCCCGGCTGATGTTTTGATTTATTGTAGAGATGAGGTCTTGCCAAGTTGCCCAGGCAGGTCTCAAACCCACGGACTCAGGCAATTCACTCACCTCGGCCTCCCAAAGAGCAGGATTACAGGCTGAGCCACTGAGCCCAGTCTTTTAAACATTTTTTAAAATGTTTAAAATTCCCGAGCAAAGAAGAGTCTAATGTGTTATTTATCCTAATGGAGTTACTGCTGAAGCCGCTGATCCCCAAGCTGGAATTATGGCAGGGAATTATGGTCCACCCCTCCTTTCTCTCAGCCCCACTCCCAAATCCTGATATTTGATCGTCTCCATATTCCTCATCTCTGTCTTCTCTACTCTACACATGCTGCCTTGGATCTAGCTCAGGCCCTGCCGACGCTTAAAAGATCGTCACAAAATTGTTTGTGCTTATCGCTTGCCTCCAGATTCACCCTCCATCTTTTCTCCCTCCAGCTGCCTGGGATCTTCCTAAAAGACAAGTCTGATTGTGCCTCTTGTCTTTCAATGTGCCCCTGTCTTGGCATTCCCAGCTTTCCAGGCCCTGGCTCTTCACCGCCCCACCAGCTTCGTTCCTTGATTCCTTTTCCTTGCGCTTGTCATTTGAATCACTTAGTGGGAAAATGAGGGCTAAGCTGACACTCACATCTGGGTATTCCCAGAAGCCTCTGGGTGCCTGAATTGCCTGGGGCTGTGGATGGTCATGTGGAGGGAGCAAGTTGACTTTTTGTCACTACTTAGCCGGGCCACTGAACTTGCTGCCCGATATCACCAGGAGGCCTAAATGTTACCACCTACCTCTTTGTTATTTTTGCTAATCTGGGGACTTGGGAGACAATTTAGGTTGCCTTGATGTATTCCCATCTCCAGCTGGAGCCATGTAAACCTTGAGCTTGGTGCTTTTGCTACAGCCCTCCCTCCAAGAGGAAAGAGGGCTGGGTTTGGGGATCACCGGCGGATCTTTTCAGAAGGAGCAAGGGCGGTGGGAACAGGAGCTTGCAGAGATGCTGAAGGCACTGGTTGCAGTTAGCTACAGCAGGTAGGGCTCCTGCACGACAGGTTCCCAGAAGGAAAAGCAGAGAAACCTTAAGTTTAAAGCTCTAGCCACTCCCAGGCAGGACACCAGTGTGGAAATCAACCCAAGGCTGCGGGTAGAAGCTGAATGGCTTTTGAGGCACTAACTGAGGGAAAGGGATAGGCCCTAGTAGCTAGGGCTTCGACGAGAAATTGGGCGCTCCTGTGACAGGGAAAGGGGGCAAAGAGGCCAGATGAGAGGTGGGATGCTGGAGACCTTGACTGGGGTAAGGATGAGGGCAGGCCTGGCCTGAGGACACTGGGGACCAGGGTGGAATCCGATCAAGTCAAGCTGAGGAGTAGTCCGTGACACTGACCCAAGAGGCCAAGCAGGGAGAAATGGTATGACAGACAAGGCGGGTAGGAGCAGGAATTTGGAGCCCAGCAGCAGAGCTTTTCCTAGGCAAAGTACCTTGTTAGTGGATGAGAGGGGAGTACTGAGGTGTAAAGTTGAGTCTGACAGAGTACAGCAACGGTATCTCATTGAACTCATTCTTACCCTCCTTCAAAGGGTCAGTAAATTTCAGTTAAATGAATCAATCATGGCATTTATCCACCTACGTTGCAATTGTTTATATCTCCGTGTGCGTAAAAGAGTTAACATAGCAGTCCCGAGAATGTTATCCTTTAAAGGGCCTGTTTGCAAGTTTGAACCTTGGCTGGTCTCTGGGAACTAGGATTTCAGCAGGGCTCCCACCAGTCCCTGATAAGAATGGCTCACTGTGTCTAAACTGTCGGTACAAACAACGTGGTTTATGCTAAACATCTGTTTTCCCTCTGGGAGTCTAGATGTTTGGTATGGGCTAGGAAGAGGATGACCCCATGACCAGTTCCCAGTATTGCACTCTGGGTATTGAGTCTCTCCTGAGCGTCTGTGGTAGACAACATATTACCTGTGTTGTCACATCTTGTTGCTGAGGGAATTAAGTGTATCCTACATGACTCCAGTGGGTGAGGACTTATACCTGGTTTCCTCTGGATTTTGCTCTAGGAAACTTTGCCTTTGCTGACTTTGCTTTATATTCTTTCACTGTAATAAATCATAGCCTCAGCTGTATGCTGAGTCCTGGGATTCTTTCTAAGAAGGCACCAAATGTGGGATCCCTCACACCTTTTGTACCCCAGGCATGAGGATAGGATGTGGCACTTAGTTACTGTTCATACATGCTCATTACTCGCATTCAACATTCCCCCATCTGTCATCTCTGTGTCTTACTGGATAAGAATTCTCCATCAAGTCTCAACCCCTGGGATTTCAACAAACCCCCATATCCTATACATTATGCGCTCGCAGAAATACCGTTATGCACATTTCTGGCATAGAGACTACACAAAGCCTGTGTCTAATTCAGAAGAAATGGCTCAGACTCACTCAGAATGATGTGCCTGGAATAGGATGAATTATATAATATGAAAACTGCTTAGACATAAAGAATTACCTCCACTATCATATACAGAGGGTGCCAAAAATGTGTACACATTTTAAGAAAGGAAAAAACTGTATTAAACTTGTGATACTCAATATATACCGAAAGCAGAAGATGAATATAAGTCACATTTGACTTCTGCAATTACAAGAGGTACTCAAAGTGGTTACCATCAGCATCCAGACACTTCTGATCATGGTGAACTCGAAGTAAAACATAGATAACAGCTCCTAAAATGTGTATACATTTTTGACACCCCCAGTACATAACAAGCACAATTTTATCTTATTTTTTATATCTTTTTAATACTTTCCTTAGCCTCTTTTCTATCCACAATTCCCTCTCAACTTCCCTGTGAAGCAGACGGAGAAGGTATTAGTCGTCCCATTTTGCGTTTGAAGAGAATGATGCTTAGGAAATGAAATAACGTGTGAAAGATCAGGCAGTAAATTATTATAGAAGGTGCTTCTGGAATCATCTGATAGAGGTCTGGTGGCTCTAAAGATGGATAGTCTTTATTTTCAGCTCAATATAAAGAACAAAATAGTAGGTCCAGATAAATTACTTGTTATATTGAAAGTAAGAGAATGTTGTTGGTTTAAAAACACTATTATGCATTTTTAAATTTTATACCATACATAAAGCTTTGCCAAACTATGTAAAGAGTGGCTCATTATTTATTTATTTATTTATTTATTTTGAGTTGGAGTCTCACTCTGTCGCCCAGACTGGAGTGCAGTGGCCGCTCCCGGCCACCGCAGCCTCGACCTGCTGGGCTCCGGCGATCCTTCCGCCTCAGCCTTCCACGTAGCTGGAACTACAGGCGTGTGCTACCACGCCCGGCTGATTTTTTGATTTACTGTAGAGATGAAGTCTCCCTGCCCAGGCGGGTCTCGAACCCGCGGGCTCAGGCCATCCACTCATCTCAGCCTCCCAAAGGCGCGAGATTACAGGCTGAGCCACTGAGCCCGGCGGTTCATTATTTTTATTAGAGGACTAATGTAAGACTTATAGTTAAAGAGGAGGATAACTTTGTTGTTCAAAGCTTTCCCTGAATTTGGGAGGGAAGAACTTATCACAATATGTTTTTATATGCTATATTTCAGTTTGATTCATACCAGATTTGATCTAATGGTTTTCTTGTATTCCCAATATTATCTCATCACCATTTCCATCTTTTTTATTCTTTTCTTTTCTATTCCAACCGCCCAAGAGGAAGAGATAGGGGAGAAAAGAATAAGGGAGAAAGAATAAGTCTCTTGTGTATTGACCAAGAGCAAGATATTGTTCTAGAAACTTTTTTTTTTTTTACTCATTTCACCTCATAGGTCTTAGAGATAAAAAAATGTTGAGGTACAATTAGCATACCAGTGACAAGGAAGCGAAAATTTGTGAGCAAAGTTGTTTAGTGGGACCTGTTGCTAACAGTTTGGTGTCCAAACTCTTCTTCCCTAACTGAGGGAAGGAGGAAAGGTGCAAACCAGGGCAGGAAGACCTTGCTTTCTTCCATATTGCAATCCGAGCTGTCAAGCTAGATAACAAGTTGTCTTTCTTTGAAGATTTCACATTATTCATGCTGGTGTCACTGTAGGAAATCTGGGTTATCAGAGTTTACATTTGTATGGAACTCCCCTACATGGTCTGTGGGAAACCTCAGGGTGAAAATCACAGTGTAGGTTGTGGAGATACAACGGGGAAAACACAGCCTCTGATGATTCACTTTATGAATTTGTTGTTTTTTAAACAATAAAGTTTATTTTTATTCCTTAGGGCATTTTAAAAATGAAAATTTGATAATCTCAAGACACAAAACACTATGAATTTAGAAAAGAACAAATAAAAATTCTCAATAGAGTCTTAGTTTAAAAACATTTATCATTCAGAAAAATCTCAGTAGAATAAAGCTATATCCAAGGCAAAAAAAAAAAAAAGATATCAAGATGAGGAATTATAAGAGACTTTACTTTGAGCAAACTTTTCTGTTACTTTTAAGCCTAACAATTACAGTTGCCTTTGCTTATTTGCAATCACTGTTGGCGTCTCGATACCTTTCCTTCATGTGAGTGATTGTATTTTAAAACACAAGACTACATAAAACCATAATGCCCTGAAACACCAGTTTCAACCAATGACAGCCAAGAGTAATTTTCTTCATTTACTGGTCATCCAATGGACATCACTCTTCCAATATAGGGAAGAATAACAACCAAGCAGGCAAATTCATTCTGTTTTCTTTTTTTTGAGTTGGAGTCTCATTCTGTCGCCCAGACTGGAGTGCAGTGGCCGCTCCCAGCCACCGCAGCCTCGA